AAAATTACTAGATGAAAAGTCCATTTGTATCGCCCTTTTCCTTATTATTTATATTAAGATTTTTCCTGAGCTATTAAATTAAAATTTCTGAGAATCACAGGTTAAATCATAGTATATTTTGTTGTACTCACAGCCTAGCTGAATATCCAAGCACAAAAACAGTAAATAAATTGATTTACGTAAATCTGCACGAAGAGGCGCCCGGCCGCGCAAGGCGGGCCACACGCTGCTCATCCTGGGCGGCCAGACCTTCATGTGCGACAAGGTCTACCAGGTGGACCACAAGGCCAAGGAGATCATCCCCAAGGCCGACCTGCCCAGCCCCCGGAAGGAGTTCAGCGCCTCGGCCATCGGCTGCAAGGTGTACGTGACGGGGGGCAGGGGCTCCGAGAACGGGGTGTCCAAGGACGTGTGGGTGTACGACACCGTCCACGAAGAGTGGTCCAAGGCGGCCCCCATGCTGATCGCCCGCTTCGGCCACGGCTCGGCCGAGCTGGAGAACTGCCTGTACGTGGTGGGCGGCCACACGTCCCTGGCGGGCATCTTCCCCGCCTCCCCGTCCGTGTCCCTGAAGCAGGTGGAGAGGTACGACCCCGGGGCCAACAAGTGGAGCATGGTGTCCCCGCTGCGGGACGGCGTGAGCAACGCAGCGGTGGTGAGCGCCAAGCTGAAGCTGTTCGTGTTCGGGGGGACCAGCATCCACCGGGACATGGTGTCCAAAGTCCAGTGCTACGACCCCGCGGAGAACCGGTGGACCATCAAGGCCGAGTGCCCCCAGCCCTGGCGGTACACGGCCGCCGCCGTGCTGGGCAGCCAGATCTTCATCATGGGCGGCGACACGGAGTTCACGGCCGCCTCTGCCTACCGCTTCGACTGCGAGACCAACCAGTGGACGCGGATCGGGGACATGACGGCCAAGCGCATGTCCTGCCACGCCCTGGCCTCGGGCAACAAGCTCTACGTGGTGGGCGGCTACTTCGGGACGCAGCGGTGTAAGACCCTGGACTGCTACGACCCCACAGCGGACACGTGGAGCTGCATCACCACCGTGCCCTACTCGCTCATCCCCACGGCCTTCGTCAGCACCTGGAAGCACCTGCCTGCCTGAGGGCCCCTGCGAGCCAGGTGAGCCCCGCTCGGGCCTGTCCCGCTCTGGGAGGGGCAGCAGGTGACGGGGGCGGAGGGGGGGTCCGGGACCCTTTACCATAGCCAACGCCTTCCTTGCAGCTGACCTCAAGCAAAGCAGGTGACCCCTCTGCCGGATGGGGTACAGCCTTAGGCTGGGGGGTGTTCCCAGACATGGCTGCCCATCAGAACCGCCAGGCTCTTCTGACAATTCTGCACGGAGTCTAGGCCACTCCGCCAAGTCCGAGGGCACACTCTCCGAGCGACAGTGTCCTCGCTTCTGACTCCAGCCACAGGCTAGGGGCTTCCCAGAATGCACTGAGGCTGTCTGTTCATGGTTATGTCTTATTACAGGGAAAGGGTATAGATTAAGAGCAGCCACGGCCAGAGGTGCACGGGGGCGGGGTGGTCAGAGCGGACAGCATCCACGAAGCATCGTGTCCTCTCCCTGTGGAGTCAGGACTGTGCCTGTCCTGGCCTCAGAGAGAGACGATGCGCAGAGCACACTGCAGCCGGGACCTCACTCACGCCCAGCGTGTGGGCAGGATCACTGGATCGCGCGTGGTTATGAGGTCCCAGGTCAGCTGGTGCAGCCGGACCCAGAGCCCCCGCCTAAGTCACATGATGGCCCCACTCCCGCCCTCGGCCAACACTCTGCTCCCAGGGGCGACACAGGCCACCTCCTCCCGCCCTCAGCCAACACACTGCTCCCGGGGGTGACACAGGTCACCTCCTCCCGCCCTCAGCCAACACACTGCTCCCGGGGGCGACACAGGTCACCTCCCAGACCCAGGGGCAAAGGCCAGGCCTCTGTTGGGACAAGGCCATGTGCTGGGCCGCACAGAAGAATAATAGCACCTACTTGTTAAGGCTGTGGGAGAATCAAAATAATGAGTATATGCAAAACCCCAGAGTTCCATGCTCCCAAGTGGACCACTTTGACCTTCCAAGTGTCCACTTAGATCTCCTTGTGGTCTGTGCTCTTTGGCAACTGAGGTACGGTAACCTTTGATCCGCCTTCCTAGCCGCACAGAAGGCCACCCTCAGGCCACGTGCTGGGCCGCACAGAAGGCCACACCCAGGCCACGTGAGCCAGGGCCGCTCCTGTGCAGCCGAGGGGAGACCCACCCGGGTCCCGTGAGAAAGAGCGGGGAGATGCGGGGGTTGGAGCGGGCCTCCCGGGGGCGACACAGGTCACCTCCCAGACCCAGGGGCAAAGGCCAGGCCTCTGTTGGGACAAGGCCATGTGCTGGGCCGCACAGAAGGCCACCCCCAGGCCACGTGCTGGAGGCGCCTGGGACGGCCCGCCTCTCACCTGCCGGGTGGGTGGAGACGCGGTTTGCCGGGAACCCGCCTGCCGTGCCCAGGGCTCGCTTCCTGGGCGGGTGTCCACGTGGGCGCCATTCCCACGCCTCGCCTCTGTTGCTCCGCAGGCTCTGCGTGTCTCCCCACCTCACGGCTGCAGCCACAGCGGGAAGCTCAGCCGCCCCGGCCAGCGCTCCGAGTGGCCACCCACCGGCTCTGGGAGCTGCTCTGAGTTTTAGACGAGAGAAGACACCGTCTCCAGCGCCAGGGTGCCTGCCTGAGGCTTTTCCCGCTTTGCAGGGGTTTGGGGGAGAGGGTCTCCCAGAGGGGCGTGCGCACACCAGGCTCCCTCCGCCTCCGGGGGAGGATGCGTTTGCAGGACTTGGAGGTCACCTGTTTCCGCAAGTCGGGGCCGGGTCCCGGGGCCAGGCATGAAGAGCCCTGGATGGGGGCAGCCCGCCTGCAGCCTGTGACGCGCGTCCCTGTCCCTGCTGTGATGTCGCCCACAGGGGACGTCCCAGGTCTCGGGGGACGGCCAGCAGGACTGAGGGCAGGAGCTACTGAGAGAGAACCGAGGACACGTTGTATAAGGGGCAGAAGCCTGTGGGGTGACCTCAGTGGCATCCAGGAGGCTTCATTGGCGGACGACCCCGGGCAGCTGGGTTAATGACAGAATCTCATGGCCCCTCCCCAGAGCAGGGCTTGCCCTCGTGACCTTGCCACCTCCCGGTCAGGCTGGCCATGGCCCATCACATGGCAGCACCCAGGACCTTGGGTACCACAGGCCGCTGGACAGGGGGTGCCTCCCCTCCTCAGCACATCACAAGCACCAGCAATGCCCCCGGCTCCTGATGGGGACCCCGAGGGACTCCAGGGGCCCACCCCCTCCCCCCGGACATCCCCAGCGCTGGACGCATCTCAGTGCGGAGGTCAGCCACGAGGTCACCGCTCCGGACCCCGCTGGCCCCTGGCATCCTGGCCTTCCAGCTGTAACTGGACCTGACCCTCTGCCCCCCGGGCTCACAACGCAAGCTCCTCCCGAGAGAACTGGCGACATCTGTTCGTTGTTTTTCACCGTCCAAGTGGCTGGTCCCTCCTCCGTGTAGCCCAGCCCAGCCCAGCCCGCCCCTCCCGTCCCTCCGTGCAGGCACTAGCCTTGGGCTTCTCCCGGGGCCTTGGACCTTGAAGTGGGGTTCACTCACTGATGCGCCCCAGCTGCCACTCGGAACGTCTGAGAGCAGAAGGTGCCCCTCCAGTTCAGACGCTGCTGCTCCCTCTCGGCCCCCCTGCAGCCGCGGGGCCCCACCCCTGGAGATGGCTCTGCTGGGAAACTGGGGAGCCCTGGCCGGGGGAGGGGCTGGGCGGGAAGCAGCTGCCGGGTCTGCAGGCCCTGCCCTGTCGGCTGCTGGGCTGAGCTAAGCACACGCCTCACAGCACAAAGTACCTCGGTGCCCTCCCTGGCGGGACCCTCTCTGTTTCTAAGTTAATAAATGAATTGAGAACGTTCTTGTTTCTTCGGGCTCTGGGGCCCGTCTTGGGGGACAGTCATGGGCTGACGTCGATGGTCACCCCACCAGGCAGGGCTCCGGGGCTGCCCCTCTTGAGAATGAGGGGAGGCTCAGTCCAGGTCCCACAGGCACCCAGATATCAGGGCTCCCCCTGATGTAGGTTGTTTGGCAACCGTCCCCTGGAAAAGCCGTCGAGAGCGCTCACTTGAGAAATTCCATTCGTCTCCGCGCTCCTGCGTATGCGCTCGGGGCTCCCAGTGGACACTCATTTGTGTGAAAATAACAAGCGCATTAAGCGGGCGCATTACTCCCAGTCATTACCGCGCAGGCCCGCGCCTGGTCTGTGCCCTCCCAGGAGTCTGAGCTGTGCCCTGGGGTCCAGTGGGGGCCTCTGCAGGCGTGTGTGGTCCTGCCAGCTGAGCTCCAGGAGCGCAGTGCAGGGTGGGGGGCCCATGGATGACAGGCCGGCTGGGCTCCGGCCCCAGCTCTCCTTGTACAGGGCTGGCTCCCCTTTGCAAGGTCCCTCTTCTCAGGTACTTAGAGGTTCCCAAACTCCCTTCAACAATGTCCATTTCCTTTGCCCTTTCATATTGCAAGCTTCCAACTAATTTGTGTGTTAGGTTCTAGCCCGGCCGGCATGGCTCAGTGGTTGAGCGTCGACCTGTGAATCAGGAGGTCAGGGTTCAGTTCCCATTCAGGGCACAGGCCAGGCTTGTGGGCTTGATCCCCATTGTGGGGGGCGTGCAGGAGGCAGCCGATAGATGTCTCTCATCACTGATGTTTCCTATCTCTCCCTCTCCCTTTTTTTGAAGTCAATAAGAAAATAAAAATTTTTTAAAATATATTTTGATTTTTTACAGAGAGGAAGGAAGAGAGATAGTCAGAAACATTGATGAGAGAGAAACATCAATCAGCTGCCTCCTGCACATCTCCCACTGGGGATGTGCCCGCAACCCAGGTACGTGCCCTTGACCGGAATCGAACCCGGGACCCTTCAGTCCCGGGACCCACAGGCCGACGCTCTATCCACTGAGCCAAACGGTTTCGGCGAAAATAATTTTTTTTATAACAATAGTAAGATTCTAGAAAGAAAAGGCATTCCAAATTTTTGTGGAGAGTCGAAGGAAACCCCGTTAGAATGTTTCCCTTTTAGCCCCGGCCGCCGGGAGACTCAGAGCAGCGGAGTTTCAGCGCAGAAGCTGTGCTTTCCCTCTTGGCACCGAGCCTCCTCCCATGCCTGGGCTGTCACTCCCCCAGCCACCTGGGGGCCTGGCTGACTGCCATCAGAGGACCCAGCCCCTGTCCACAGTCTGAGCAGCACCCCCTGGGCCCGCCCCCAAGCTCCTCACCGCAGCCGGGCCCCCGTGGGTGCCGGAAGCGTGTGTCAGGTGGCCCTGGGCCCCTCCTGTGGACACACGAGGCCAGGCTGGGGAGAACCAGGTTGTCCAGGCAACTGCCCGGCTCCAACTCTGAGGCTGGGGGTGGGGTGGGAAGTTCGGGGACCCTCGGAGGGAAGGGGCAGCTAGGGAGGTTTCAGCTGGTCTGTTCCCAGGAGCCAGTTCCAGTCACGCCCCTCCCCCCAGTCAGCTTTCCCCTCCTGGGACCCT